AGTATCAAAAATATATGTTTCTTTTTCTTTCATTATGTTGACAACTGTGTTAACATACAGGCGTGGATGGTGTAACGGTTAGCATGGTTGCCTTCCAAGCAGTCGATCCGGGTTCGACTCCCGGTCCTCGCAATCCTTTTGTAAATTTTTTATTATACAGAGCACAATTTATTCAACAGATCAAACAATTATATAGTAAACAACCTTGTTATATCATCTGTGAACATTTTATTTCTTCAACCCAAAAAGTAACATTTACTTGACGGTTTGTTCCTATTAATGTGTTAGATGCAAATTTGATATGCATGTTATACTTAATTGGTGTTGGCGCCAGCTCAGCCATTAAGACTTAGTCTCTGCTATTTTATGATATCTAGCGTGGATGGTGTAACGGTTAGCATGGTTGCCTTCCAAGCAGTCGATCCGGGTTCGACTCCCGGTCCTCGCATGCAATTTTTTTTACCACGTGTGCAGAGATGACATCAAACAACAAACAAAACAATTGTGCAGAGGTAGTATATGTTGGACCATTTTTCTTATTCATTCACCGAAAAAAAGAAAAAACGAGAAAAAATTTTCCTACCCTCTGTTACCCGTCTATCTGTGCCTATCTTTGTAAAAAGCAAAGCCTTGCAAAGGTTGTAGTATTTGCGCTTGAATGAAGTTGTACAATTTACTTTCAAGACGGAATGCTCCATAATTAGATAGGTGTTTGAGGATATAAATGCTTCTTGGTCTGTTGTAATATGCGTAGTACGTAAAAAATGGCAAATGCTTCCCAAATAAGAATTGTATGTACTCCTGTAGTGCTTGGCTACCACCTTCATGTGTTTTATTTGATTGACTCGAAATTGGAGTTTTCTTGTCAAAGCCACATGTTTGATGTCGTTTTAGCGTGTGTATTAAACTTAACAGGCAAGAGTTTACTTTCATTTGATGAAATGTACAGATTACTCATGGTCGCCACCACATTACGTCCCCGATCGTGACTTAATGTTGATAAAATATCACTCCAGGAAGTGATTATGTGTTAAAAATGGATCGTGTGAAAAGCTGTATCGTTTAACCTATTCACCTCCTAGAAATTAAAAGCTTCTTTTATGCACTTCAGTCTTTAATTGATAGATATCGATTTTGGATTTAAACGCAAGAATGACATATAGAACTTGATAATTTAACATTGATATTACTCAGATTCAAACTGTTAACTGACATGTATTTTGAACATTTCTGCTTTTTGAGAACAAAAACTTAAACTTATCATCCTAACAGCGATATGTGATACCATTGCGTTGATGTATAATTCGCTCTGTCGTTTTCATCCATTCCATCTTCACAAGAAAAATGCGATTGTTGTGACGAGTAGTAGCAATCAGATCTAGTCAGTATCGTAAAATAAGTGTGTGCAAGTGTCCGTCGGTGTCACTCGGTAAACATCGTTCTCTTTTAGTTTAGTTTGCATTAATATATTCACGGCAAATACAGTTGCCATATATTAGGAAGCGTTTCAATGGATTTTGTCTCATGAAAACAAACTGCGGAATTATGCACCAGGCTTTGGCGAGAGATGTCACCGACAAATTAAAAAACAAGTCATCAAAAGAATGTAAAGAATGGGTTGCGCTAAAAACCTAATATATGCGCTGCAGCAACATCAGCTGATCATATTACACCACCTAAAAATTCTAGGTCACAGTCAGGTGGCTACATGTATTTCCCAGTCATAACCAGTGCATTTTTGCACTTCATCTCTAGAAAACAGCGTTCCATTAATTCATTTAGGTGCCCACTCCAAATTTTAGCAGCATTGTGATAAAGAATCATATTCAATACAATTCTAATACTCTACTCTTCACTTGGAATTTGAAAAAAAAAATTATTTTGAATATCACTAACCTTAATGTCTGCATTATGTTGTTAAATGGTTTAAAGTTCTTTTAGATAAATGTTGTAATGAATTTTAAATTAATGGTCAAATTCCTTCTTCTATATTTGAAATCAGGAAAAAGTATGAAAGGCACCAGAAAAGGTATTTCTGTGGAGTTATTCTTTACCTTCCCTTCACTCTGTTTCATTTTGTAGATGTTATCACGGTGCTTTTGTTTAACGTGGCGCGTCATCACGTAAAGCAAATGGTTGCAGCGGCTGCATTGTCTCGTCCCGAACTATACCATTAAATCTTTCTTATAGTGACATTAACAAATGTTTTCCTAAGTCAACATGTGTCCATGGCTTATTAACGTTTAACAAAACTTGAAGCGCGCGAGTCTGTAAAGCGTTCGTATATCGTACTAATTGAGTATTTTTACTGAATTTTTTGAGAATATTTGCAAGGCATTTGCGCATACTTACCAGCAGGTGTTTTTTCTTTGATTTTTTTTTTTGGGAGAAGGGGGGGAGAAGGGAATACCTCCACAGGTAAAGGGTTGCGTGATCCACTGTGAACCTTCTAGATCCTCTCTCTCTCTCTCTCTCTCTCTCTCTCTCTCTGTGACTGTTTGAGTGTGTGAGTGAGTGTGTGAGTGTGTTTGTTTTTGTGAGTGTGTGTGTGTGAGCATGTTGCGTGCGCGAGTGCACAGACACGTGTTTTCATCAAATAAAACTACCCAGTTTCATTAAGAATTGCGCAGACTCGTCTGTATGTACAATGTATTCTTGAAATACGTACGTTTGCGTTGATACAGAACCGCGCAAGAATGCGTGAGCTCATGACTCTTGGTGACCCATTATTACATTAGGCTGAACAAGACTTAAACTGATTCGGAGATATTTTGAAGTATTTCATGAGAATGTTCTAACCGTCTCTTCACCTCCGTGAGTGTATCGTATGTCTTTCCGAAGGCCTACATGGAATTACAATGTATTATACCGCCCTCTTTATTTCCCCTAATGCATTATGTACATGTGTAAAATGTCTCTTTCTTTTTTCTCCGAGTAAGCAAAATGACTTGCGGATTATTTCAGCTTTAAATTAACTGATAAACTGGTCCTGTTAAATCATGTATTGAGTAGCATTACTTCCTGGTACAGACTAGAACATTCAAAGAACACATGCTTCGCTGATGCGATTTATCTCGAAATAATTGGGTGAATTTTTTTCGGACTTATAATAAGGCAATTTGTCATAAGTGAACTTCAAAGGAAACACCAAGTTCCAGGCCGCTTTGAAAAATATCAGGTTAAAAGGGACGCCTTGGAAATGTAAATCAGAATTGTTCGATTTAGATGACGGATATGATTAATATCAACACGCAAAAGCGACTCCTTTCGGTTGCTCACCGGTTTCAGCGCTGCCACGCGACCCTCACCCTCCCCAAAGTTATGTGAGTTTAGTCAATTGGTTTTCTATGTATGACATAGACACCTATACAAAAGAAGGAGCACGAAATGAAAAGAGGCAATTAATATCGGGATTGATTTACAAGCATGGCGGTGCACACATTATGCATTATTATACATATTTGCATTTATAAACATGCAAGGACAGGTTGGCGATTCACTTTTAAAACTAGCTGTTGGGGCGAAAGCTGCCTCGGAAGAAAGAGATAGCCGCTTAAAAGGTAAAATGATGGTCGCAAAGGCACTGCTTACGGACATCAATGTATTCATCCAGTGACGCTTTGCGCCTACTTTACGTACATTGACTTTCATAGCTTGAACTAGTAAACAAAAACACTGGCTATTTGTTCCCTAATTTGCGGTTTGTTATGTACCATAAGGTGCTACTTATAAGTGTGGAATTTCAAACCAAACTCATGTTGATTCAAGAATCTTAAATCCTGTTGAGAAGATAGCTGCATTACTAGGAGAATTTCTGTATTTTCGATAGATACTGGTACACCGAAAATTTTATTTCATTTATTTCAGTCCAGCGCCAAAATGAACATAAGGTTTACAGCTTGCATTGCGATATTTTTGGCAGTAGTGGTTCTAGTTTCCACGAGACCCCTGAAAAAGCGGCAGTGGATTAAAAGACAGAGTGCAAAGACCAGAGGACATGGAAGGAGATTTAATACCGCTGGCAGTATACCAAAGCTTCCCCCAAAACACACACGACGTATCATTAAAGAACACGGAAAAGGTAACTGTTATTTGAAGCGAAAAGTACAAGTTATTTTGGGAGTGGAGATTTGTTCAGTTGTAAAGTTTATCATAAATGGCACAAAAAGATATTCGACGAAAGTTAACAGCTGCAACAAAATGTAGACGAAACAGCCAATCCAAACTTAAATGTCTTTTGGTTGACTTTCAAGACTCCAGTTTAAAGTTCCAAGCATCTGTCCTAAAGTTAGTTTTCTTGCACCTTCTTTAAAATGGACAATTTTCTGTTTAAAGTTCCGTTCGTGAAAGTCGACGGGGAGGTGAAATCTTCCTATGGCAAATTGATCCTGACTGTAAAGCCAGATGCTGCTGAATCATCGGGTAAGTATGGTCCATCATGTTTTTTTAAATTTTTTTTTAGTTTTTGAATGCAAATATATGCAATGCTCTTTTGTTTAAAACTTATTTAATTACAGAATACATTAACGTTTTTTTAACTTCGAGTTAAAACGTTTAGATTTACCATAAATAAATAAATAAATAAATAAATAAATAAATAAATAAATAAATGAAAAAAGATTAAAGCAAAAAAGGAAAACAAAAAATAAGTACTTAAACATAAATTATGTGCGAAGAAACAACCTAAAGCAGATTTTGTGACATTGAAAGTTAAAGTGAAGAATTTTTTAAGGAGGCACGATATAGAGCGCATGTCCCATTTTGAAATTTAATAAAATAATTATTTATTAAATATATATTATATATTATATATTAAATATATAATATATAATAGTAATTATAATAATGATAATAATAATAATTCATTTTAGTCTACCAGTAACTCACATCTGCATATTAGCCAAGTTTATAATGTTTTAATATACACCTTAGTGTTAAGAGTGACATTGATTTAAATTTAATTAAAACGCCATTGTGTGGAAGGTGAAACACAATTTCTTTTTTTTTTGGGGGGGGGGGGTAGGTGGGGGGGAGGGGGGGGGAGAGTTATTTAGACAAAAAAATCATCACTGTCTGAAACGAGTTATTCATTATGAATGAGAATTGATCGCTTTTCTTTATATGTACACTGTAAAGCCAGTGCTTCCACTTTGTACATTTACCACTTGGAAGCGATCCTATTTGTTGTAGCATTATTCACATTTACAGTGCTTTTTCATTTTGACTGTAAGGTTATGCTGTAAAGGTGGAATAATTATGGCTCGCACATAATTTAATGTTGTCGAGTTGGCCAATCTTTTACATGGTCAATTGTCCGTGTGACGTATGTGAGTCACATTTGCATATGAAGCACTTACCGTATCCTGGTAAACTTAAGACATTACACCTATCAAAGTTCCAAATGAATTAGCGCATTTTTCTCAGTGGAAATTCTCGTTATTTCTTTGCATACATTAGGGAGTGTACATGTTTTACAATTATCATGCAACAGGCCCGTGTGCAATGGAATAACAAAAAGGTGTGATGTACTAGTCCATTCATCGGTATCACAATCAATGCGAGTGCCGGTGGACCATTGGACGCCGCCGCCATTGCCATATTGTTTATGTTTATACAATTGTCTGACGGTGTGATATATTATATAATATATAATGGAGTTGACATGAGTCCAACCCCTTTACAAATGAACTGACAAGCATATTTTATACCACCCTAATGTCCTTTTATTTTCACACGGTTAGGTACTGAATAACCAGAATATTGATGGGGGAAAAGAATTTATACGCATATTTCATTTTCATTCTTTAGTTCATTCGGCCCACTCTTTATTGATAATGGATTTGGTACTGTATATAAGCCGTGTTTTATAAAAATAAGGTGCCTTAAGCGTACTTTGAATGTGTGGAAATACAAGTATGCTACGAGTGCGTATACATTATCTCTCTGAGTAGGAAATCGACCATTTCCACTAGTGATACTACATTATGTGTATTTATGTATTCTCGCTTCTTGAAAGCCAAGTTTATAATAACACGTGCACATATCACGCTATTAAGATTTCATTTATCGTTGTCTGGAAATGTTCAATTTAATTATGAGAAACAGTATGTTTTTGCAGACATATAAATTCTTGATGTGTGTTCAATGCAACTGTCAGTATGAAATATGTCTCGTCACTATACATATTTAACCTAATTCACAAAATTTCCATTAAGCCATCCAAAATTTCAAATGGCTATTTCATTACTGACAGGGTTATTTACAACCCCCAACACTGTCTATTTTAATGCATTGCATCACATTCGTACTGGGAACACTTTAAAGGTACAAATTCGTACTGGGATTACTTCATAATTACAATTTCAAAATGTTTTCATTTCATGAAAAAAATCCCTATCTTATTATAAAATACGCAAGTTATAAGGCTACACATATAGGTACCATGGCAATTAGAATAAAGCATTTGATTGTAAATTAAATATATACCTTTGCGTTATGAGTTGGTATTGGCGAATTGGTCAATTGGTTTCGTCCAGAATACTTAACTGGTCGACCTCAACGCCTGCTTTGATCAATTTTAGTTGCCGAAGTACTTCGAAATGAAAAGATACGTCACGTATACTCTGGAAACAAGAGAAAAGGACGAGGAGACGCCATCATTGTGGAAAACGCCCAACAGAGGTATGTCGATATGTTTCATGCATGTCATCAAAACTGACATTTTAATAATAATAATATAATAATATAATAATAAAAGGTTTTAAAAAACCTATTGCTTTAATTGTTGTCGTGGTAGAACATGAACAAATCCACTTCCAGGGAGATAACTTTTTGATTCTGAAGAAACTTGATCACATTATGACACAAACTGCAGAAACATATGGGAAATATTCCACATATAGAATAAAGTTACATATAGTAGTGTACTTGCATCAAAGCTTCTATCAGATAATTTTTGTGGATTTTCAGCAACTTGGAAAAGCTGCGGAGTCGCCCAGATCTTTTCACAGAAATAGAAGAAGACACCACTGTATTTAGCATGGCCTGTTACGCCCATATCGTAGACATGTACACACGTTACACCTGGGTAAGAGCTCCTTATATTATATATGACATGTTTTACAATAGGGCTTTTTATATGAAGATTTTGACATATTTTAAACAAGGGCATATCCCCAGTATATTAGATCAATGACGTATTTCAGATGGGTCTCCTTCTTGACATAAGACTTATTGCGCTTTCTTCAGTATTTGACATTTTTATATCTGGGGCATTCAAAATTGACATTTTCATTTAGTAAATGACATTGGATAGTTTGATACTTTTATTTGACATATATGTCTTGACAACAAGATTAGAAATATGCAATATCTCTACTGGCTTTCAATAGGGTTTATATATTTCGTTTGATTGATACGCTACGAAAAAATGAAAAGCTGTCTATGTGATGGCTGTATTCATGATAACTGACGGGCACCACTAAAAAAAGGTCACGATATGGAAAAAAAACTCTCAAATACATACGCACTGTTCTTTTTATGACCTTATTATGGGGGTATCATTTGACATGCTCTTGAAAGTTTTCAGCAGATGCCTCTTTAGCACGAGGTAACATTACCATTTCGAGTGGTGCACACTTCAAATATGGAAATCAAAAGGGCAGCTTATATTGCATTATCAACTGAAACCAAATTAATTAAATGTAACGTCATGTACGAGATTGCCAGTGTTAATTCTTCTATTTTTTCTCCTAAAAAGACATCATAATTCAATCATTCTTTTGAAATTTAATTGAATAAAAATTTATTTATTCATTTCCCGTTCTCCATAATTTGGAAACTAAAACAATTCCCACAACAATGCAGCTCTCTACATACTGTATATTCAGCTTCCCCTGTATATTCTTTTGTCGGCTGGATATAAATTTGTTTCCAAATGACATGTCTGATAATTATTTTCATTTTCCTTTAATAAAGGGTCTCGACCGTATCGATACGCCTAGTATAAACTGGGACAACCATCTTAACATTAAAGGAGACGGAAATGGCGTCGACGTTTACCTGCTAGACACTGGCATACGTAAAGACCATGACGAGTTTACGAACACTGACGGAAGTAGCCGAGTGGAAGATATTTACTTTTCCGTATTTGACGACGACGGCTCGGATGGACATGGGCATGGCACCTACCTTGCTGGCGTCATTGGGGGAAACACATTTGGTATAGCGAAAAAAGTTACAATAATATCGGTACGTACTGGTAAAACATTAATTTTATTAGCTATATCCGTCTGAAATTTGAAAAACGGAGTTTGACGTAGTTTGGTGAAAACATTACTTGGGGGGGGGGGGGGGGGCATGGCAAATAATCAATTATTAACCGTGACAAAGTTTTGATAGGTGGCCTGGAACTTAATCGCATTGGTATTTGTAAGCTTACGTCAATGAAAGGTTGAAGATGATTTCAAAGCAAAAAATGGTTTAAGATGTAACGTTTAACTTTTTTTAACCAAAATTTTGACCCAAAAATCTTACAACAGCAAATGACAGTAGAATTCATGTCAGCAGTTATATGATTGGATAATTCAATTCCAGGTTAAAGTTATGCGTCCAGATGGTAAAGGTGACACGAGTGACGTCCTGCGCGGCATAGAGTGGGTGAAAAATACCACAAGATCACGTGGTCGAAAGTCATTGGTGAACATGTCGATAGGGGGAGTTCTGTCTGAGAAATTAAACGACGCTGTGCTTGATTTATTGGATGAGGGCATTTTACCTATGGTGGCGGCAGGTACAGTCACATAAATTTTTCATACGTAGTTGGTATGTTTAGGCATCATCAAATTTTCAAATTAATGATTTTCCGGTTTCTTTATTGTCTGGCATCAATTTACCTCTGTGTTTTATGGTAATGATATGACGTTGGTGAAAGACTTAAGTCATATAGCTTCATATTATCATATACATTATTTTTTAAGGAAATGATTATGGTGAAGATGCATGCGGCTATTCTCCTGCTTCAGCTTCCGGTGTGATGACTGTTGGTGCCTCAGACCCGTAGGTTTAATTTTTATTTTTGATCATAAGTGCTCGCTGAGAATTTTTATCTTGTCCAAAATTGAGATAATACTTGAGTCTTTATCATTTTATCATCTTTAACTGTTGGCAAAGCAATGGCATTCTGTATTAATTTGGTCGAACAAAGTAAACGGAAATAGCAATTATACTTTTTCATTAGTTTTTGAAACAACAAATAAATGTACTTCAAAAATGCAATCGCCCATATGGGCAAGTGTTTTCCCTTTACTTTGAATCAAGTTATATACCATGAAGCAACTGAGAGTGGAACAGTTACTTCACCGTACTAATATAGGTATTGTACTGGTAGGTCTATGAGCCCCATGATTAAAAAAAAAACGAAAAGGGCACCATAGTAATTGTTCACTTTATCTTGTTATTTACTTTCAGTTATGACGACGTCGGTTACTTTTCCAATACTGGCTCCTGTGTGTCAATCTATGCCCCCGGAATGTGGGTGGAGAGCGCTTGGCCCACCTCGACCTCTGACACCATGACCATCAGTGGAACTTCCGTCGCTACTGCGCATGTCACTGGTGCTGTTGCCGCATATCTGTCAACTCTGCCTGTTACTAAGGTAAAAAGTGCTTGTTTTATAAAAAATATGATTCGTTACAACTGGGTTATGAAAATACATGTACATGTAACCCTTAAAGTTAGCAATGAAAGGACATCAGGTGTAAATGATATACTTTAAAAATGACATGTACCAGTATTTTTCCAGTCATTCAGGCTCTTTAAGCATCTACTTATAAATAAAAAAGGACCGAAGTTAAATACGTGTTTTCGCTATCTACACTTCAACCGTTTCTTTTACTGTATCATATATATACACCGGTACCGTATATATATACCAGTACAAAGACTCGGCATATAGTGCTCGTTTTGAGGGACCGTCTTCATTTTCATCCTTCTATTTACAGATGACAGCAGAAATCGTCGCAGAAACCAGATCAAAATTTATAGCAAAAGCATCGCCTGTTCTCGGCACCAAGAACCTCCCATTGTTACAGGTGGTCACATGTTGAATAAGGAAATTATAAACGATATATATTCTCTACTGCAATTCCGGTCATGGAAGTGGAAACAACCATGAAGGCTTGAAGAAAGACGCAGTCTTTTGTAGATTTATCCAACAACTTCAGTGACATGAACTGAAATAAGATTTGGTTTTGAAGCATTGGGAATTGTAATAAAAATCTGCTCAAAGATGACTGTGCACTTTTTTAAATAGTGCAACGAATTCAAGTCGATAACAAGAAGCGTGAATGTATTCTCAAAGACTGTGAATTTGAATAGATACATGTACCACCTACCAGGTCGTGGTTACACCTGACTCACGTAGATCTAATCTAAGTCCATGTTCAGATGGCGTTGGCAGTTCTTGGTGCTATGAGGTCGGTGGCAGCACAGCATTGGGTAAAATGTCCAGCAATATAAGGATGACTGAAGTGATGCTGTGCAGACACCTGAATTGCATTTTACTAATAGTTGTTGACCTTGAACAGTATTGATTTAACTAAACTGAACGAGACCACGGACTACAACGGCCTACCGTATACTGACCTCGAAGCGACGACAATCACATTCTAAGTTTTGGCCGTGCCAAACTTTTATATCAGAGAATCCGGTTAAAACTCTAGAGAAAGAGAGATTTAAGGTCATATGTCGTATGGCCTTAATAATCTTTTGAGAAACGTAGTAAGAGGTAACTACCTCTTTCCTGAATATCAGTGCAGCCACGTGTAACTTTTTTTCGTACATTAGTCCATATCTTTTGTTTTCTATTCATTCATATTTTCGTTTATTTATTTATTTATTTATTTTATTGATCACTGCTGAGTTTAGCCTTGTTAAAACTCGTTCCCGCAGCATTTGATCACCAGTATGACTTAACCTTTAATCGATTCTTGTGCAGCTCGCTACAAGTCTACTCAGTGCAATTTATCTTAAGCGTCTATGATGCTATACATATAACAAGTTGAAGTGGTGATCGGGGATACAGGAAAAATGATGTTATAATTTTCATTTAGTTGGATTAATGCAATGCTGAAATAATAAATGATGATATTATTTATGGAGTTTCACTTGGAATATGAACAGATAGTTTTTGTTAAACTGAGTTCCCATAAACCTATCGTACTACCAGGATCGACCTAACTTAGAGGGGATTCTCGCTAAATTGCATTCAGTTTAAGCGGCTTAAATATCTGCCACGTCCACTGAGTTGCTAGAGGGGGTAACTAACTTCCGTGCACTCTTAAATTTAATGCTTTAAACTGATAGCGATAATCCTGTCGGAGATAGATCGAGCCTGTTAGTATGTTAGTGTTATGGGAATGCTCCCAAAATTTGCTGGTGTTTGGGCAGGGCATTCGTGGCATTCAGTCAAGGGGGGAGAGAATACTGGACCACACTGGCATAACAGCTAAACTAAGAGACATCCAGAAACACACGCACATCTTACCGGTTATATACCGCCAGTAGTTTCATATTGTGAACAAACATACCGGTACACACACATTAAAACTTTGCTCCAGAAAAACACCTACATTCATCAAATAAATACAATTAAGCCGTTTTCTTGAGGTGTAACAATGTAGCAGCGCTGTACCATAGGAAAAAAATTCATAATATAGTTACCTACTTATGGAAGTTCAAGGTCACCGAGTCGCTAGCGGGTACAAACTGTTCAGTTTGACATTGTTCCCCGTCTAAAAATAACAACGTTAAACGCGACAGGGAATACAGGTGCACACGGATCCATGTCAACCTCCAAGGTGAACGCGGAGAGCAAGGTTAGTTCATTTTAATTATTTTTTGGGCAACTAAGAAAGGTTTAACTGACTTGATAAAGATATGATAAATGAGTATTTTGGTATCTACTCTATCATTTTTGCTATAACATACCTGCATACCTAACAGGTTAGATGTTTGGAGAATAGACTGCAAAATATCATATCAGATGAAATAATCTTTTTTTTAGAAAAGAAAATGATAAGTACTTCAATGTTCCATGTAGCAAATTCATTGATGATCAGAAACATTTAAAGTACTCTATGTGTGTCCGGCCTACTGAAACGAACATTCAGTTAAGATATATAATCGGAATTCATTGAGATTTTGAACTGTATTAAAATCCCTCGCGTTCTGTCGAAAGAAAGAAATTATAGAAAAGAAATTTGTGTTGGTATTTACAGAAAACGCTTAAGGTAAAAAGTTTAGAAATGAACCGGCGTTGATTTATGACCAACAGGGGTTGATATTTACCACGCACATTTGCTCACGGTTGGTGTTTTTGTTTCGTCTTTGTCCCCTATGACATCCTTGCTGCAAAGAGTGGAAAAAAGTAACTTACATGGGTAATGAATTGCTCTGTTGCGTGTTGTTGAATTTTGGTGACAGGATCTTTATTGTTCTTACTGTGTATCGGTTTATGATCGTAGGCAGGCAGGCCCACGCGACAAATTCATCATGTTCTTACGAACGCCTACTTATATGTAGACGTGAAAGAGTTTGTAACAATTTATGCATGTACCTTCATTACTTTATCAAATGAAATCACGAAATTCATAGGACTGCTTAAAAAACGCTAAACATTTCCTTTCCATTTTACAATTTGAATTAAAATACGGAGCCATTTACAGTATGACAAATTTTTTAAACCAGTAATGATGTATACAGTAGTGATAAATGCCTGAAAAAAATTCATGTCCTCTTCCAAGCAGTACATGATGAATTGGTCCAGTCTCAATGATTTGAATATTACCCCTATTTGCCAAATTATCGTTATTATTAACACGGGGTGTGAACGGGGTAAATGTGATTGAGCACCAACCCAAAATAGTTTACCTCTAAATAGGTTACACTGTCCTGCTTTCATATGTTTTACCACAATTGGGAGGGCTAAGTTCGCATATCCAGTCAATACCTTCCTAGGCCCGTAGCCG